GGTGGCCCCAATGACACAGCCGGCGAGAGAAGTTGTGAGAACGCCGACCTGGCACCCGAAAGGAGGCCACAAGAGGAGGCGCACATGACGGGACGCGGGGGAGTGGATGGAGGACACGTCGGGATCGAACGTGGCCACTGTTCCCCCCCACCCTTCGGTTGAAGGGATGGGTGATGATGTTGCTTTATGTGATGTATGTAATAAAGAGTTGGCTCCACCTGACTTTGTCAAAAAAGAGCCCCTTTTCCATAATACGTCCGAGAGCGTTCATATCTCACCCTCTCTCTCTTACCACTCCGAGCGCCGTTCAGCCCACCAAGGGTGCGTTGCTGAACAGGCACTTAGGGTAGGTATAAATAACACTTCATGTATACGGAGTGTCTCACATAGCAGGCTGCAGTCTCGGTCAGACTCTGACAAGATGACGCAGCCGCTATTTGGGGATGGCGCACTATCGCAGACTAAGGTCTCTGTTAGTGCGATTCAGACCCATGCTGCGGTCACGGAGGGCCCGATTACCACGGTCACGAAAGTAACCAACGTATCGGCGCCCCCACCTCTCTTAGAACGTGCCAATGCTCACCACACTGAGTGTAACTCAGCCCACCAAAGGTGCAGAGCTGAGCACACACAGGAGGTGAACGGGAAAAAGATACCAAGGCGCCGCCTTGTGTTACCTCATAGAGACCTCATATTACAGACTCCTAGGAGTATTGTAGTGAGGGGCTCTAATAGCGAATTGCAGTCACAGCCAGATTCTGGAATGATGACGCAATCGCTCGCTGGGGATGGTGCTCTGTCGCAGGCTGTGGCCTCGGTCAGTGCAGTTCAGACCCGCGCTGCGTTCACGGAGGGCAGGAATACGACGGTTACGGGTTTAACCAATGTCTCTGCCCCTCCTTCTCTCTCAGAAAGTACTGATGTTTCCTCTCCCTTTCATGGGAGGCCCACCTTGGGCTGTTCCACCACCTGTGTTGGAGAACAGCGGTGGCAAGGGCCATAGAGAAATACAGGTCCTTCCTACTGAATGTACCACAGCTTCGCGCTCGCCCGCTTTCTCTGCATTGCTGGCAGTGGCAGCGAAGCTGTACCCTCTCACGCTGGCTAGAACAGACGTTGCAGATGGGTTATGCCATCCAGTTCCATCGGACCTCACCCCCATTCCGGGAAGTGGTGTAGACGGTGATGAAAACGCCCGAAAAAGTGGCCGCTCTGGTTTCAGAGATTACGGAACTTTTGGCGAAGGAGGCGGTCACAGTAGTTCCCCAGGAGCAAAGGAACAAAGGGCTATATTCGCCCTACATCCTGGTGCCCAAAAAGATGGGGGGAATGAGGCCGATATTGGATTTACGCATTCTCAACGAGAGCGTAACCAAACGGCCCTTTCGAATGCTAACGACAAAACGTCTGCTGGAATGTGTCCAGAAGGGAGACTTTTGTACAAGCATAGACCTGAAGGACGCGTACTTTCATGTGCCGGTACAGCCGCGTCACAGGAAGTTTCTGCGATTCGCCTTTCAAGGGGTGGCGTACGAATACACGAGGATGCTATTCGGGTACGCCCTGGCACCTCGCACGTTGTCCAAGTGTGTGGGGCGGCATTGGAACCGTTGCGTCGTCAGGGAATAAGGCTACTAGCCTACCTAGACGACCTACTGGTTCTCGCCCCGTCAGCAGAGCTGGCGATCACTCACACGACACAGACAGTGATTCATCTCACACGTCTGGGGTTCGCTGTGAATTGGAAAAAGAGCGCGCCCTGGCCCAGTCATCAGATTGTCTACCTGGGGATACAGCTAGACACTGTAATGATGAGGGCTCGAATTTCGGACCCTCGAAGGGTAACCTTGTTGCTAGCCCTGAGGAAGTGTCGTCCGAATCACACGGTGACGGCGCTGTCGATCATGTCACTCTTGGGTCTCATGTCGTCAGCCAACTCTGTGGTTCCGCTGGGACTCCTGCACATGCGCAGGATGCAGCGATGGTTCGCCCAACTAAGATTAGACCCAGTGCGTCAACGTCATCGGTTGGTGGTGGTTCCCCTCTCGCTCAGTGCAGATCTGAACTATTGGAGAAACCTGCGCGATCTCACGCACGGAGTCCCGATAGGCAAAGTGTCCTCCTACATTCCAGTGTTCACAGATGCCTCTCTGACTGGATGGGGAGGGACATGTCAGACCCAAGCGATAGGAGGTGTTTGGCCTCTTTCAAGTCGCCACATCAACCTCTTGGAGTTGGAAACGGTTCGACTGGTTCTGACCCACTTCGCGTCTACCCTTCTGGGTCGCGATGTGCTGGTCTGGTCAGACAACCGGACCAAAGTAGCCCACATAAATCGCCAGGGAGGAGTCAGGTCTCCTGCTCTCCATCGGGCGGCAGAGGAATTGTGGCTGTGGGCTCACGAGCACCTTCGCTCATTGAGAGCAGCACACATTCCGGGCTACTTGAACGTAGGAGCAGACCTCATGTCGCGAGGGGGTCCTCGAGACGACGAGTGGTGTCTGCATCCGGACATTGTTCTCAAAATTTGGAAACAGTTCGGGAGAGCCGAGGTGGATCTATTCGCGTCACGCGTGAACGCGCAATGTCCCCTATGGTTCTCTCTGAGGGAACAGGACGAAACGCCACTGGGAAGAGACGCATTTGCGCACCACCCGTGGCGGAGAGTTCTTCTATATGCATTCCCTCCGCTGTCCTGCATTCTCCCACTGTTAGCCAGGGTGATATCAGGATGGCTGTCAGTGATATTGATAGCCCCCGATCGCCCAGGGGCTCCTTGGTTTGCGGAGATGAGTCAGATGTTGATTGCGCCACCTTGGCCAATTCCACATCGACGGGATGCATTGTCTCAGGCGGGGGGTTCGATAGGGCAATTGCCCATAATCGGCCAACCACTGAAGGCTTGGCTCCTGAGAGGGACAGGCTGAAGCGCCGTGGGTTATCTGATGCAGTGATCAGGACCATACAGGGTTCACGTGCCAGTTCCACTTCCAGGATGTATGCCAGTAGATGGAAAGTTTTTTCACGATGGTGTGTCACACAAAGTGTAGACCCCATGAGCTGTCAGGTTGAGAGTGTTCTCTCTTTCCTACAGTTTATGTTTGATAAGCAGCGATCGCCCGCCACCATTAAGGTGTTTGCAGTGGCGATTTCAGCTTGTCACGAGGGGTTTGGCAGAGACAATGTCTTCAGCCACCCTCTAGTGAAACGTTTCTTATTGGGAACGCGGCGGCTTAGGCCACTCATAGAACTGGAGTTACACTCCGGTAACTAATCGTTTGGGCCAATTGAAACATTGCATGTGACTAAGAAATGTCAGTTATCTTGTTTGACCACAGATTATCCATTATATTGACCAGGTACTCAAGTGGCTGCTCTAACAATGAAAAGAAATGTCAAAAGAAATGGAATGCAGTTAGCCTGGGTACCAGTTTCTTCAGCTAATCCACTCCCTGTACTCCATGTCATGTGCCAATGAGTCTGGCCTTTCTGCCATCTTCAAATATGAACGTTCTGTCATTGGGTGTGTTCGTAAATTCACTCTGGAGTATCAGAGTGCGCTCAGAGTGCGCTCTGGGCATTCATAAATTCAGAGCATTGTCAGATTGTCAGTTCTTAAATTCAGTGCATTTCGCTCTCAGAGCGCACACTGGACGCTCTGGCTGAGGAGTAGGGTTTGTGCTGCTAGCAACAATTGAATTACGTTTTTTTCCAGATGTTTACTAATACCTGTGTTGCGTGTTCATAAATTCATCTGTTTTTCTGCACTCTGGCACACTCAAACAGAATGCTCAGAAATCGGAGTAGATAGCCAAAGTGAATTTATGAACGCACTCATTAATGAACTCGAGGAAAACAGAGGATTTGATCCTGATTCGATCACCCTCACAGCTATCCTCCAATCACAGGGATTATGCAAATATTGGAACCGGTTTTTGTTTGTCCGGTCTGTCAAAAGTTGCTAGCTCACGTCTATATTCTCAAAGTAAATACATACTGCATTTCCAACTACTAAACGTCTTAGTTTTGATTTTAAGCCTCAAAATACAACAACTTGCCTAGCTAACAGATAAATCGTTGTTTTTGTCTATGTTATCAATTCTAATTCTATTCTCGAGGCTCCACATGTTGTCATGGAAAACATTGAGATTGCCGAAAGGCCAGTCTCTTTGGCAATAACAAGGAGTGGCAAAGAGTGGAATTTTAGCTAAAGAGACTGGTACTAAGACTAGAAGGCAGTCAGGAGGCAAGATCAGGTGGGAACATTCTAGGCAATAAAGCTACAATATGTAACTTTTCGGGCGACCCAACAAAATGCACATAATGTGAGTTATCGATCTGTCATTCTCATTGAAACTAAGTCTAAGAAGCGGTAGATCTGTTCTATTTGTGCTATTTCTATGCTTCTTATATTTAGTTTTTGCGTCTTTTACTTTCGGTTTAGTACACCAGCTTCAAAAAGCTGAAAATACAATATTTTTGGCTATGGAAAGATATTTCACAGCGGTTTAGATGGTACAATGATTCTCTACACAATGACTGCCTAATTTCAGTTTATGTGACAAAACAAGCAATCTATTTGAATTTTAGCAACCAGGAAATGGCGGAGCGATTCAACATTCTCATTGACTACCATACAAAAACATCACCTGCTGGAAAGACAGATTTTGGACCAAGTTATCCCTCACTTCACCTCTTCACTGGTGTGATTCAGTAAATTACTACAGTAAATTACTATAGCTCCCACCTTGGGCCAATCAGTGTAATTTTGGAAAAGCCAAATCTGTATGGGAAGACACATCATTTACCCAAGTGTCGTCAAAATCGGCCCAGTGCTTTCTGAGACATCGCGTGTAACTTACGGACGGATGGACGGACAGACCATTCCACAGTCCACTCCCCAATTTCATCGTGGGGACAATAACGAGAGGAATAAAGTAAAGTTTTTGTTTTTCAACATTTAACAACATTTTGTGAATACAATTTATTATAAATGTACCTTTTCGGAAAAACACATTGCCATGTTTTCCATGGGTGTTCTTGGAGCTGTCCTTCATAGCATTGAAGGTACTCTGCCCTGCAATTGTCTGGACTTGCTCTTCAGTCAATGGGAAACCAAAGAACTTGGATATCTGCTGCACCCCTTGACCTAGATTCTGAAGAATAAGTGGAGTTGAAACTTGTACATCCAACATTGTGCATTTCACAACTCTCAAAAAAGACAGGAGGTATGTGATGTACAATATGATGTATGAAAAAAATCATAAAAAAGTGAATGTTAATGACATTTATACAACGGGTGGGTATAATCCTGAATGCTGATTGGTTAAAACCGCATTCAGCCGGTGTCTGTTCCACAAGTTGCCACCGGCTAAATCTATGATGTTAAAATGCCTATTTACTCTGTTCCATCTGACTGCGCAATCCACTTTCTCATCAGCCCAGCCAGGCAACTTATAAACTTGATCTCCACTATAAAAAGCATCTAGACATTAGCTCACATTTCTTTTAGACTAACATTTCGTTTTCTACAGCAGAGATTTGAATAAACCTTGCTGTCTGTCTCTCCGACATTTGCAACATTGTTTCAATATTGAAATTCGATCTCCTGCTGTCCCATCGTAATGAACTTGTCGGGAGTCGGGACGAGACAGGCAGGCAGGCAGGCAGGGTTTCTCAGCCAGTCAAAATCATGAATCAGCTGGCATCATTTTTATGGATATATACAAAAAAATGTCAATTGAAAAAAGGTAAAACAAAACGCAGCTAATTTGCAGTATTTCCAGCTTCAGTTTGAAGTGTTTGTGTTACTGTAGCTGTGTTGTTGGCTAGCTCCACTGAAAAACAGTGTCCTGACGAGTAAGCACATTTTCTATGCCAGGCGAAATCGCGCCTCATTAGCTCATTTTTATGGATGTATCTAAATAAATCTCACTAGAAAACAGTTTAAACATCTCTTGCTGTTATTCTGGCTGCACTTTTTGACGTGACTGTAAGTTAGCAGTAGTTGGCTAGCTAGCAAGCAAGGGATTAGAACGTTGCCAGCCAGTATGGCAATGGAACATTTAGAATGAACAACTGGGTCGCGTCCATAGATACAGAACAAAAAGACTGAACGACTGGTAACTAGTCTCTAGTAACCCTAGATTTGTGTCGGGACTATATATTCTGGAAGGATGAAACAGCATGAATAAATTACTAAAATAACGTTTTTAATGAAAATATGTAAATCATTATTTGAATATGTTGGTAACCCGTTGTATAAAAGTGATAATGCCCTCGAAGCCGGTGTTTGGAGGATATATTGGCACAGTTTGCCAGTCCTCAACTTCGTCTCGGGCCTAACAACACACATGCCAATATATCCTCCAAACACCGGCTTCTCTGGCATTATCACTTAAATAAAATGTACATTACTGACACATAATTAGGGTTGTAAAACTGCCAGTAATTTACCAAATCGGAAATGTTGGTAATAAAATCCTTAAGAGTCAATTGACGCACCCGTGATTCAATATAATTAACATAATACAAAAATCCCCATAAAAATCTGTCTGTACTTGAATATTTTTATTCACGTATTAATATATATTTATTTATTTTGGTCTGTGTCTAGTAGTTAGACCACGTGGTTCAGGAGAGCCTAATTAATGAAAAAATATACAGTGGGGAGAACAAGTATTTGATACACTGCCGATTTTGCAGGTTTTCCTACTTACAAAGCATGTAGAGGTCTGTAATCTAAAACAGAAATCCAGAAAATCACATTGTATGATTTTTAAGTAATTAATTTGTATTTTATTGCATGACATAAGTATTTGATACATCAGAAAAGCAGAACTTAATATTTGGTACAGAAACCTTTGTTTGCAATTACAGAGATCATACGTTTCCTGTAGGTCTTGACCAGGTTTGCACACACTGCAGCAGGGATTTTGGCCCACTCCTCCATACAGACCTTCTCCAGATCCTTCAGGTTTCGAGGCTGTCTCTGGGCAATACGGACTTTCAGCTCCCTCCAAAGCTTTTCTATTGGGTTCAGGTCTGGAGACTGGCTAGGCCACTCCAGGACCTTGAGATGCTTCTTACGGAGCCACTCCTTAGTTGCCCTGGCTGTGTGTTTCAGGTTGTTGTCATGCTGGAAGACTCAGCCACGACCCATCTTCAATGCTCTTACTGAGGGAAGGAGGTTGTTGGCCAAGATCTCGCGATATATGGCCCCATCCATCCTCCCCTCAATACGGTGCAGTCGTCCTGTCCCCTTTGCAAAAAAGCATCCCCCAAAGAATGATGTTTCCACCTCCATGCTTCACGGTTGGGATGGTGTTCTTGGGGTTGTACTCATACTTCTTCTTCCTCCAAACACGGCGAATGGAGTTTAGACCAAAAAGCTATATTTCTGTCTCATCAGACCACATGACCTTCTCCCATTCCTCCTCTGGATCATCCAGATGGTCATTGGCAAACTTCAGACGGGCCTGGACATGCGCTGGCTTGAGCAGGGGGACCTTGCGTGCGCTGCAGGATTTTAATCCATGACGGCGTAGTGTGTTACTAATCGTTTTCTTTGAGACTGTGGTCCCAGCTCTCTTCAGGTCATTGACCAGGTCCTGCCGTGTAGTTCTGGGCTGATCCCTCACCTTCCTCATGATCATTGATGCCCCACGAGGTGAGATCTTGCATGGAACCCCAGACCGATGGTGATTGACCGTCTTGAACTTCTTCCATTTTCTAATAATTGCACCAACAGTTGTTGCCTTCTCACCAAGCTGCTTGCCTATTGTCCTGTAGCCCATCCCAGCCTTGTGCAGGTCTACAATTTTATCCCTGATGTCCTTACACAGCTCTCTGGTCTTGGCCATTGTGGAGGGGTTGGAGTCTGTTTGATTGAGTGTGTGGACAGGTGTCTTTTATACAGGTAACGAGTTCAAACAGGTGCAGTTAATACAGGTAATGAGTGGAGAACAGGAGGGCTTCTTAAAGAAAAACTAACAGGTCTGTGAGAGCCGGAATTCTTACTGGTTGGTAGGTGATCAAATACTTACGTCATGCAATAAAATGCAAATGAATTACTTAAAAATCATACAATGTGATTTTCTGGATTTTTGTTTTAGATTCCGTCTATCACAGTTGAAGTGTACCTATGATAAAAATTACAGACCTCTCCATGCTTTGTAAGTAGGAAAACCTGTAAAATCGGCAGTGTATCAAATACTTGTTCTCTCCACTGTATATAATCAACAATGATGTAATTTCCAATTATCTCTGGAACTCTTCCAACTATTGACTTTTCACAACTGCCACCAGTTCGGCCCCAAAACATTTACAACAAAGATATATTGGCATAGTAAAATAAAATACAAATATAAAGGATATTCCATGCTGAAACCCTCATGTTAAACAACAACGGTATTCAGTAAGTTGATTGGTTATATTTAGGATTCTGTTTTACAGCTATGTGTATATATTGTTTTATATTAATTTTTCTTTATTGTATTTTATGTCTTTAACATGTTATGAAAACTAGTAGAAATGCAGGTAGTTTACTGGTACATTTCAAAAGTTAGGTCTAATATTCACTCTTTTTGCAACCCTATACATAATAATATGTGTTTTACCTCCTTCATTTGCTCATAAGTGATCATCATTATGTTAGGATTGCCCATTAGTTTCTCCCAGGCCAGGGCATGGTCGAAGTAAGAACCCCAAGCCACTGTAAAAAAAAGAAACACAAATACCATAATATGAATACATTCAACAGTCATGTGACTGTACATAATGTTTTGTAGTGTGCTGTATTGTACCATAACTATAGTGTGATTATCCATTTGTTAGTGTGAGACTGTGGAAAGAATATCATTTATCTGACAGGGATCTGACATCAATGAAGACGTCTGTAAATGTGCCAGACGTAGCCAGCTAGCTAGTCCCTGGGGCATTTAAAAAACAAACATTTAAACTCACATAATGACAAGTTAGAGCACACATTTTATTTAGGAAATGTAATTTTCTAGTTGTAGTATTTATTACATTCAGCCTATCCAACACGACACTGCATTTATGTCAAACAATACGAATGTGTTGAGTAGTTCTTTATCCGTTTTTCTCACCTTCACCCTTCATGAAGTCTGTAAAAAATGAATCCCAGGATTTGGCATTAGGCAAAACAGGGTTTGTGTTCATGAAGTGGTAGTATGATACGACTGTATCTTTTGGGTTTCGGAACACAACCAGCATCTGAAAGTCAAAATTACCACAGATAATTGTTATAATATTGGTGCAATTGAGTTCTAAAGTTTGTTGTAAAACAACAACATAATTAAGATGAACATGGACAGAATATTTTCAGGCATTCTCAGTAAAAACCAAAAATATTTAGCAGTGAACAGTTAGTCGCCTACAATAGCAGATGACTAATTTACATTATTAGCTTACTTATCTACCGTAAATGCAGTCACTTGGAATCTGCATCCGAAGATGGAATCCGCAGTAGGCGAAACAGCCACTGTCTGCCCCACCGAGGTGAGGAGCGTCATGCAACGTGCAGTACATATTTGCTGTTCTATCGCGCGTGCAATGATGTAAAAAAATAAACGGTGTTTGCTTTTTGCAGGAACTTCGTTGTTGTAATATCGCAAATGTACATGGCAGTTTCACCATTAAGGATTCCAGCTTTAAATGTGTTTAATTATGAAGTCCAACATTCCTAATACAAAAGTCAATTCAGATTCAGACACAAAATACGTCAACTCCAGGGGAAGTATAATACCCCCGCCTGATTGGCTGGATTTATTCCACATTAAGTCAAAGTATTTATTTTAAACATCTCAGGACCATTTGCCTATTTTTAGGAAAGCTCACTCTACCTGCCGAACTTACTTTTATTTTATCCTAGAATTGAGATGAAAATTGCTCTATAATTCCAACGCAAGGCTTGAATTTCAATTGAAAGTGTCAACAGGATGTATAATTAAAATGTGTTTTGGAATAAGAGGAATACAATAGATTAAATGAGAAATCAAATGCGTCATTCATTCTACACAGGGGCCCAACTTTGGTTTTAGAAGTGGGGGGAACGTATATATATATATTTTTTTTTTCCCCAGTCGGATAAACACTCCAAACAGCCTACCCGACCGCTCGGAGGCGTCCGCATGGTCCTAAAGCACACCGCAGCCTCATTTTGTATCACATTCCAACGCTAAAAATGCAATTTCAGAATGTGGGGATGTCCCCCCCTTCACAGTGAAATTTGCGTCCCTGACTCTACACGTCACAATACATTAAATTAAACAAATTTGACATAATATTACATAGATCCAAATAATATGTATAACATTTGGTTCAAACATTTCATTTAAAAAATCATTCTCCTATTAAAGGCCTAGTGCAGCTGTTTTTAGCTCAATATCAAATCATTTCTGGGTAACAATTACTGTATTTACTGTAACAGTTTTCCATAAATAAAAAATAAAAACAATTAAAAAATCTCAAGCAAGAATATTGCCCAAGACTGTCTGGGTGTGGTCTGAGTGGTGTCGGGGAGGGCACCTAAGCAAGCTATTACCATAGGTTGTGTTCCCCTGCTCGTGGCATGGTTGCATGCCACAACATCGACTGTGCCATCGGGTACCAGATTGCTATAACATTTGATGTGGTTAGTTGATACGTAAAATACCTATCCAAGCATTGCAATATCTGGCATGCGTCCGCAATGTCTGAGCAGAGGAACACGACCATTGTGTGGATCAATCCACTAGAGCGGAGGGGCCTAATGAGTGGGATATGTAACCTGAAAACTAGCTGTTATTGGCAGAGCGGTTTGGAACTCTCTTTGCAATTGGTCTATAAAAAGGTCCAATACAGAAGGTTAAAAAAAAATCTCAATATCAAATCATTTCTGGGTAACAATGACCTTTTACTGCAGTGGGCTAAATCATGGTCACACAGAGTGTTTCTTAGTAGTCTTAAACACATCTACTTTGAAACAATAGTATACACCTCACACACATGGTTATGGCCTTAAAGAAAGACACCTGTACCATGTCAATTGAAATGTATTCAATTTTGAGTTTGCATCCCAATATTATACATTATAGACATCACAGAAGACTGAAATATATAGAAACACTGGATTTTCAGCTGTTTAAAAAAAAAAAGTGTTGGTCCCATGTTTCATGAGCTGAAATAAAATATTCCAGAAATGTTCCATATGCACAAAAAACGTATTTCTCTCACATTTTGTGCACACATTTGTTTACATCCCTGTTAGTGAGCATTTCTCCTTTGCCAAGATAATCCATCCACCTGACAGGTGTGGCATATCAACAAGCTGATTAAACAGCATGATCATTACACAGGTACACCTTGTGCTGGAGACAATAAAAGGCTACTCTATATTGTGCAGTTTTGTCACACAACACAATGCCACAGATGTCTCAAGTGTTGAGGGAGCGTGCAATTGACTTACTGACTGCATGACTGTCCACCAGCGCTTTTGCCAGATAATTTAATAATAATTTCTCTACCATGAGCCGCCTCCAATGTCATTTTAGAGAATTTGGCAGTAAGTCCAACTGGCCTCACAAACGCAGACCACTGTCACGCCCTGACTCAGGGGACGATTATATGTTGAGTCAGGGTGTGTATATTCCTTGTTGTGCTTGTTCTATGTATGAGGATCTAGTATGTCTAGTTCTATGTTGCCCGGTGTGGTTCCCAATCAGAGGCAGCTGTCGCTCGTTGTCTCTAATTGGGGACCATACTTAAGCAGCCTATTGGCACTGTCTAGTTGTGGGATCTTGTTCCTTGTAAGGTATGTTGTGTGTTCTACCTTGGACTTCACGTTTCGTTTCGTTTATTGTTTTGTCGTGTGTTTATTTAGTTTAATAAACATGTACGTATATCACGCTGCGCCTTGGTCTGACCCGTCATTCAACGAACGTGACAGAAGATCCCACCAAACGAGGACCAAGCAGCGTGCCCAGGCGGAGCGAATGGCCATGTCACAGGTGGCCGATTTGTGGTCATGAGAAGAGATATTTGCGGGGAGAGGACCATGGGCTAAGGTAGATGCCCAGGCAGGAGAGGAGCAACGGAGGAGGCCGGTCGAGGAGGAAGCCCGAGAAGCAGCCCCAAGAAGTGTTTTGGGGGGGAACATGGGGTGGTTGGCGGAGCCTAGGGTTAGAGCAGAGCCAACTCCCCGTACTCACGCGAAGAGGCGTATGACTGGGCAAGCTCCGTGTTATGCGGAGCTACGTACTGTGTCGCCAGTGCGCCGGCACAGTCCTGTACGTCCTGTGCTTGCACCACGCACGTGCCGTGCGAAGATGGGCATCCAGCTAGGACAGGGTGTGCCGGCTCAACGCTCCTGGTCTCCAGTACGCCTCCTCGGTCCCGCATATCCTGCGCCAGTTCTACGAACTGTATCGCCAGTGCGCGTGCACAGCCCAGTGCGTCCTGTGCCAGCGCCCCGCACGTGTAGTGCGAAAGTGGGCAGCCAGCCAGGACGGGTTGTGCCAGCTCTCCGCTCCAGACCTCCAGTCCGCTTTCACAGTCCGGTCCGGCCCATTCCTGCTCCTCGCACCAAGCCAGTGGTGCGCGTCGCCAGCCCGGCCCGGCCCGTTCCTGCTCCTCGCACCAAGCCAGTGGTGCGCGTCACCAGCCCGGCCCGGCCCGTTCCTACTCCTCGCACCAAGCCAGTGGTGCGCGTCGCCAGTCCGGCCCGGCCCGTTCCTGCTCCTCGCACCAAGCCAGTGGTGCGTTTGTCCAGTCCGGCACGGCCCGTGCCTGTTCCACCGGTGCCTGGTCCGGCACCGGTCAGCTGCTCCACTCCGGAGCCAGAGCAGTCCACTCCACCGGTGCCTGATCCAGTTCCGGTCAGCCATTCCACTCCGGAGCCAGAGCAGTCCGCTCCACCGGTGCCTGATCCAGCTCCGGTCAGCGGCTCCACTCCGGAGCCAGAGCAGTCTGCTCCACCGGTGCCTGATCCAGCTCCGGTCAGCGGCTCCACTCCGGAGCCAAAGCAGTCCGCTCCACCGGTGCCTAGTCCGGCTACGGTCAGTGGCTCCAGTCCAGACCATGACGTCAGCCCCTCTCCAGGTTCGGGGTCTCCCACACCAGGGTCCAGACAGGGCCTGGCATATCGTGGGAGGAGGGAGAGGGGAAGCAATGCGCCAAGGTCTAGACCAGACCAGGGGCGCAACAGGGAGGCGGAGAGTGAGAGGTCGTCACGCCCCGAGCCGGATCCGCCTCTGAGGCGGAATGCCCACCCGGCCCCGACCCTGTTATGTTTATGTTGTGCGGTCGGAGTCCGCACCTTTGGGGGGTGCCCAATCAGAGGCAGCTGTCGCTCGTTGTCTCTGATTGGGGACCATACTTAAGCAGCCTATTGGCACTGTCTAGTTGTGGGATCTTCTTCCTTGTAAGGTATGTTGTGTGTTCTACCTTGGACTTCACGTTTCGTTTCGTTTATTGTTTTGTCGTGTGTTTATTTAGTTTAATAAACATGTACGTATATCACGCTGCGCCTTGGTCTGACCCGTCATTCAACGAACGTGACAACCACGTGTAACCACGTCAGCCCAGGACCTCCACATCCAGCTTCTTCACCTGCGGGATCATCTGCGACCAACCACCCGGACAGCTGATGAAATTTAGGAGTATTTCTGTCTTTAATAAAGCACTTTTGTGGGGAAAAACACATTCTGATTGGCTGGGCCTGGCTCCCAAGTGGGTGGGCCTATGCCCTCCCAGGCCCACCCATGGCTGCTCTCCTGCCCAGTCATGTGAAATCCACAGATTAGGGCCTAATTAATTTATTTCAATTGACTGATTTCCTTATATGAACTGTAACTCAGTAAAATCTTTGAAATTGTTGCATGTTGCTTTTATATTTTTGTTCAGTATAATTTTGAAATTATAAAAAATATGGCCATTAGGCCACTATGTAATTTGACTGCAGGAAACGGCTACAGTGGCTTGCGAAAGAATTCACCCCCCTTGGCATTTTTCCTATTTTGTTGCCTTACACCTTGGAATTAAAATAGATTTTGGGTGGGTTTGTATCATTTGATTTACACAACATGCCTACCACTTTGAAGATGCAAAATGTTTTTTATTGTGAAACAAACAAGAAATAAGACAAAAAAAACAGAAAACCTGAGCATGCATAACTATTCACCCCTCCAAAGTCAATGCTTTGTAGAGCCACCTTTTGCAGCATTTACAGCTGCAAG